TAGTGAACTGATGAAAGACTGGGTATGTTCTGCACCACTTGGTAGTGAACTGATGAAAGACTGGGTATGTTCTGCACCACTTGGTAGTGAACTGATGAAAGACTGGGTATGTTCTGCATCACTTGGTAGAGAACTGATGAAAGACTGTGTATGTTCTGCACCACTTGGTAGAGAACTGATGAAAGACTGGGTATGTTCTGCACCACTTGGTAGTGAACTGATGAAAGACTGGGTATGTTCTGCACCACTTGGTAGAGAACTGATGAAAGACTGGGTATGTTCTGCACCACTTGGTAGAGAACTGATGAAAGACTGGGTATGTTCTGCACCACTTGGTAGAGAACTGATGAAAGACTGGGTATGTTCTGCACCACTTGGTAGTGAACTGATGAAAGACTGGGTATGTTCTGCACCACTTGGTAGAGAACTGATGAAAGACTGGGTATGTTCTGCACCACTTGGTAGAGAACTGATGAAAGACTGGGTATGTTCTGCACCACTTGGTAGAGAACTGATGAAAGACTGGGTATATTCTGCACCACTCGGTAGTGAAATGATGAAAGACTAGGTATATTCTGCACCACTCGGTAGTGAACTGATGAAAGACTAGGTATATTCTGTACCAATTGGTAGTGAACTGATGAAAGACTAGGTATATTCTGTACCAATTGGTAGAGAACTGATGAAAGACTGGGTATGTTCTGCACCACTTGGTAGAGAACTGATGAAAGACTGGGTATGTTCTGCACCACTTGGTAGAGAACTGATGAAAGACTGGGTATGTTCTGCACCACTTGGTAGAGAACTGATGAAAGACTGGGTATGTTCTGCACCACTTGGTAGAGAACTGATGAAAGACTGGGTATGTTCTGCACCACTTGGTAGAGAACTGATGAAAGACTGGGTATGTTCTGCACCACTTGGTAGAGAACTGATGAAAGACTGGGTATATTCTGCACCACTCGGTAGTGAAATGATGAAAGACTAGGTATATTCTGCACCACTCGGTAGTGAACTGATGAAAGACTAGGTATATTCTGTACCAATTGGTAGTGAACTGATGAAAGACTAGGTATATTCTGTACCAATTGGTAGAGAACTGATGAAAGACTGGGTATGTTCTGCACCACTTGGTAGAGAACTGATGAAAGACTGGGATGTTCTGACTTGGTAGAGAACTGATGAAAGACTGGGTATGTTCTGCACCACTTGGTAGAGAACTGATGAAAGACTGGGTATGTTCTGCACCACTTGGTAGAGAACTGATGAAAGACTGGGTATGTTCTGCACCACTTGGTAGAGAACTGATGAAAGACTGGGTATGTTCTGCACCACTTGGTAGAGAACTGATGAAAGACTGGGTATGTTCTGCACCACTTGGTAGAGAACTGATGAAAGACTGGGTATATTCTGCACCACTCGGTAGTGAAATGATGAAAGACTAGGTATATTCTGTACCAATTGGTAGTGAACTGATGAAAGACTGGGTATGTTCTGCACCACTTGGTAGTGAACTGATGAAAGACTGGGTATATTCTGTACCAATTGGTAGAGAACTGATGAAAGACTAGGTATATTCTGTACCAATTGGTAGTGAACTGATGAAAGACTGGGTATGTTCTGCACCACTTGGTAGTGAACTGATGAAAGACTGGGTATGTTCTGCATCACTTGGTAGAGAACTGATGAAAGACTGTGTATGTTCTGCACCACTTGGTAGAGAACTGATGAAAGACTGGGTATGTTCTGCACCACTTGGTAGTGAACTGATGAAAGACTGGGTATGTTCTGCATCACTTGGTAGAGAACTGATGAAAGACTGGGTATATTCTGTACCACTTGGTAGGGAACTGATGAAAGACTGGGTATGTTCTGCATCACTTGGTAGTGAACTGATGAAAGACTGTGTATGTTGTCAACAGCCTTTGAGATAGTGAGTAGTCAGGAAGGTAGAATAGATCAAGGCTCTGTGGTTTAGTTTGGTGCACAGGAAAATGACCATCTGCATCATCACGACGCTTAGCAGTTGAAGGAAAGGCAAGAGGGATATTTCAGTAGTACTTGGCGCTGGCTGCTGAAGATATGGCCGGGACACTTATAGGAATGTTCTTAGTGCTTGTATGTCGGTTTTTAGACCAAATTAGCACCATCTCCAAAATAGAGGTATGAACTAACTGGGTAAGGACGGCAGAAAGAATGCTGCAATAGAACTGTGTGCTACAGAAATACAAGTGCATGTCAGATTTTAGTAACATGATGCTACCTTATCTAAACTGGCAGATAGTTACAACATATCCAGGTCACAATGTCGCTTGAGATAATGAAAACATAGCTGTGGGAGCAGTAGGTAGAAGTCGAGAGTGACGACTGAAGAAACGGGATCCTGACCAGACCAGGGAGACGACGACTTTTTGTACATGGGCGTTATGATTGTCGGGAATGTGAGAATGTCTTTAGGATCAGCAGCAGGTTGGATCTTTTCTGTTTGCATCCTGTTTTTGACAGAGATCGGTGAGTGTGGGTCGATTCCATTGTCAGGTAACATATTACGCTGATTAAACGTGGCATTAGTAATCTATTTACTGGTTACACGTGGCATTAGTAACTAATTTACAGGTTACAAGTGGCATTTGTAACTAATTTACTGGTTACACGTGGTATTTGTAACAAATTTACTGGTTACACGTAGCATTAGTAACTGATTTACTAGTTGCAGGTAGCATTAGTAATTAATTTACTGGTTACACGTGGCATTAGTAACTCATTTACTGGTTACATATGGCATTTGTAACTGATTTACTGGTTACACGAGGCATTAGTAACTGATTTACTGACTACACGTGGTATTAGTAACTGTTATTTACTGGTTGCACGTGGCATTTGTAACTTATTTACTGGTTATACGTTGCATTCGTAATTAATTTACTGGTTTCACGTGGTATTAGAAACTAATTTACTAGTTACACGTGGTATTAGAAACTAATTTACTGGTTACACGTGGTCCCTGTAAATTATCATACTAGTTACAAAATAAAGTTGTCAGACATGCTATTGATTACATAATGCATTTTTCTGGCTGGGTCAATGCAAGTAGCAAGGTCGCTGTTCTAAGGGCCAAATGAATTTATTTTAGGACTTAGTGGGTTACTGCAAGAACCGAGTGGGTTTATTCTTGTGGGTTTATTGTAATACCTGATGGATTACTGTTGGAACCCGTGAGGCGATAGAAGCAGCCAATGGTTTGACATGTCAGATCAAGGTGAGTGGAGTTAATGAAAGAGAATTGACTGACTGACTTTCTACCCCACCAGGACATCACACAAGCGATAAACACCCGATGACACAAAGTGCCACCATGTGGATGAGGATCGCCGTGGAGAGGTCCCAGAAACCGCGTTCAGACATTTGGCCATATTTATGGCCTGCCTATATTGCGGCCCCTGGCAAAAGCCAGAGTAGGGCTTCAAATGACAAAAAATTTCGTCCTGAAAAGGACGAAACTGGATTATAAGATATGAAAGAGAATTGGGTAACCCGAGAGCTGAATGTGACAGTTGTTGCCACGAAAATAGATATCAGTTATTTGACATATTGTTAGTGTGACCATAGATCCCGTTTTCACAGGGGTATTCCCGTTTTTTTCTGTGTGTCACCACAGTCCCGTCGGGACTTCTGTATGAATGCCAATTGTCCCGTTTGATAAAAATGTAGAAATCAGTCGAAAACTGAGCATACACTTATATCTGTAGACCTCATTAGCTTTCATAGGTTTGGATACTTTTAATGCCTGAAATCTGTTGATGGGAAATTCCACTACAGCATTCACCACCCCTCACCCCTTTTTCTTTGTGTAATAAGAGAGCATATTTCTTTAGTTTATTCCTTGGCGCCAAAGTCAGTTTTAACACGATTGTTGAGTGAGTAATTAACTTTTCGGAACACTGACCTAAATATAAAAATGTGAGTGAAGTTAAACTGACTTACTCGTGATGTCCCGTTTTCAGCACAAGGTATTGGTGTGATGTCCCGTTTTCAGTTCACAATATAAGTGGGATGTGCCATTTTCAGCTCACGGTATTAGCGGCATGTTTTGTTTTCTGATGAAAATATTAGAAGGATATGCTGTTTTGAGTACACAATATTACTGTGATGTATTGTTTTCAGCACACAGTATAAAGGGTAATGTTATGATTTCATCTCAAAATATTAGTGTGTTGTCCCGTTTTCAGCACACAGTATAAAGTGGAATGTTATGTTTTCGTCTCAAAATATTAGTGGGATGTCCCGTTTTCAACACACAGTATAATGTGGAATGTTATGTTTTTATCTCAAAATATTAGTGGGATGTCCCGTTTTCAGCACACAGTATAAAGTGGAATGTTCTGTTTTCATCTCAAAATATTAGTTGGATGTCACGTTTTCAGCACACAGTATAAAGTGGAATGTTATGTTTTTATCTCAAAATATTAGTGGGATGTCCCGTTTTCAGCACACAGTATAAAGTGGAATGTTCTGTTTTCATCTCAAAATATTAGTTGGATGTCCCGTTTTCAACACACAGTATAAAGTGGAATGTTATGTTTTCATCTCAAAATATTAGTGGGATGTCCCGTTTTCAGCACACAGTATAAAGTGGAATGTTATGTTTTCATCTCAAAATATTAGTGGGATGTCCCGTTTTCAGCACACAGTATAAAGTGGAATGTTCTGTTTTTATCTCAAAATATTAGTGGGATGTCCCGTTTTCAGCACACAGTATAAAGTGGAATGTTCTGTTTTCATCTCAAAATATCAGTGGCATGTACCGTTTTCAGTTCACAATATTAGTGGACTGTCTGTCTTCAGCTCACAGTTTTAATGGGATGTCCCTTTTTTCGCTCAGACTATTAGTGGGATGTCCCGTTGGTCCCAGGCAGGGTGCAGTGTGACATAAATATTTATCTTGAAAATTCTTAGACTTTCGTCTGCTGAATTTAGTAAAAGTTCTTCTTGCCTGACAGGGTCGGAACTCATCTTCCAGCAAGAGGAAACAAACTCAAGGCTTACCCTCTCCTGTCGGCTGCCCGACTTCGTCTCCCCAAAGCTGCAGCACATCGATGTCATACTCATCTCCATGATGAAAGGCAACAACCGCAGCACGCTAGCAGCCGTTTCTCGCCACTTCAACCAGGCCAGACCAACATCTCATGTACCTGGCGCAGAAGTTAGCGGCTACATAGCTGACCAGGCTAACGCTACGACTTTCTTGAAGATCTCCTGGGATAACCGTACATCTAGGCAGGGGGAGACCTACACGTGTGTTGTGTATGGCGCTAACAAAGACTGGGCTCCTCAGACCGCCACCCAACGCTTGTCGGTCAAGGACAAATCTTCGTCTAGCTTGGTTATGGTGTCTGACCCGGAAGTGATCAAGCTAGGACTCACCAAAGAGCTGCAGATATTGTGTACAGTTCCTGACCACTCACTTCTCAATATCACCAAAATGGCGTCGCTGGAAATATTCAAACAGCAAAACGGAATTAAATGTCAGTTCGCCAGAATCAAAGCCGGTTCAGGAGAAGCGGTGCTAACAGGGGCGTTCAAGGCTTCACTCAATGGAAGCATGGAGGGCCAGACAACGTTCCTTGGCTTGACGTGGGGCAATATTTCCGCCGCTGATGCAGGGGAGTTTATCTGCGAGGGGTCCGGAGTTGATGCTAGAGGACACCCGGTCTTTTTCAGTAAGAATATAACGATTGTCTCCCAGAACCCAGACAGACAGGAGCTGGTTGCGATGTTGTTCGAGTTGTACAGCAAGAACAGAGATTATGAGCATGTTCAAGAAACGAAACGACAGGTAATCAGAGAAAAGACACAGCTGATCAATCAACTCAGCAAAACTCAATGCCGACAACCCAACAGTTGCGACAATACACTGTTTCAACTAGGCCAGTATATTGTGTCTCTGGAACCTGATGATGGACTCGGACCCATTTCCGTTTTGTGTGATGGCGAGAAACGCGGAGAAATCTGGACAGTTTTCCAGAAGCGATTTAACGGAAGTGTGGACTTTTATCGAAACTTTAGCGATTACGAGAACGGATTTGGGTCTCTTGACGGGGAATTCTGGCTGGGACTCAAGAACATCCGACGTCTTCTGCTGCAGAACGAGAACAAGAACAAGCTGCGGGTGGAGTTCACTGAAATGACAACGGGGGTCAACTACACGAAAAACTATAACACATTTTCTCTAGGACCTCCCCCGGGATACAAACTTCAAGCCATTGGTTTCGACGACCTCGGCTACGGGATGTCCTTCAACTCGGGATATAACTTCTCAACTCCCGACCAGGGTGTGCCTCGACTGGCGGTCCTCAACCGTGCAGGCTGGTGGTTCAACTACGACAGTCCTTACGTCAACCTCAACGGCGTTTGGGGCGTCAAAGGAAAAAGGCACTCGGTATACTGGTCTGAGTTCCGTCGCGATAGAAACGTCATTTTAGAAAGAACCCAAATGAAATTTAGAAGAAATTTCTGAACTTCTGACAATATGCGATTATTTGCTGTCTGCATCTAATGTTACAAGTCTGTGTATAGTTCGTTACAAATATCCTGCCCAAATGTTGCAAGTTTATGTATAGTGCATTACAAATATCCCGCCCAAATGTTACAAGTTTGTGTATAGTGTGTTACAAATATCCCGCCCAAATGTTACAAGTTTGTGTATAGTGTGTTACAAATATCCTGCCAAAATGTTACAAGTTTGTGTATAGTGCGTTACAAATATCCCGCCCAAATGTTACAAATTTGTGTTTAGTGCGTTACAAATATCCTGCCCAAATGTTACAAGTTTGTGTATAGTACGTTACAGATATCCTGCTCAAATGTTACAAGTTTGTGTATAGCGCGTTACAAATACCCTGTTTAAATGTTGCAAGTCAGTTATATTGCGTTACAAATATCCTGCCCAAATGTTACAAGGCTGTGTATAGTGCGTTACAAATATCCTGCCCAATGTTACAAAATGTATCCTGCCCAAACAGTGTTACAAGTTTCGTGTGTATAAGTGCGCCTTACAAATATCCTTTAGAGAAAAATATGTAAACAAATATCTAAGGTCCCCCCACACCCCCCCCCCACCCCCCCCCCACCGCCACCCCACCCCCCCCCACCCACCCCACCCCCCCCACCCCCCCCCCCCCCCCCCCCACCCCCCACTATTTTATGATTCACCTTTTTCATTTCTCTCAAAATTTAGTAAAAGAGAACAAACACCAAAGGCTTGTTTATGGCGAGGTCATAAAATCAGTGCCTACTTTTTCTGACGTTAAACAACAAATACGAGGCTATGCTACAATATATATTTATCTTTGTGTGCGTACTTTTTCTGATGTTAAACAACAAATACGAGGCTATGCTACAATATATATTTATCTTTGTGTGCGTACTTTTTCTGACGTTAAACAACAAATACGAGGCTATGCTACAATATATATTTATCTTTGTGTGCGTACTTTTTCTGACGTTAAACAACAAATACGAGGCTATGCTACAATATATATTTATCTTTGTGTGCGTACTTTTTCTGACGTTAAACAACAAATACGAGGCTATGCTACAATATATATTTATCTTTGTGTGCGTACTTTTTCTGACGTTAAACAACAAATACGAGGCTATGCTACAATATATATTTATCTTTGTGTGCGTATTTTTTCTGATGTTAAACAACAAATACGAGGCTATGCTACAATATATATTTATCTTTGTGTGCGTACTTTTTCTGACGTTAAACAACAAATACGAGGCTATGCTACAATATATATTTATCTTTGTGTGCGTATTTTTTCTGATGTTAAACAACAAATACGAGGCTATGCTACAATATATATTTATCTTTGTGTGCGTACTTTTTCTGATGTTAAACAACAAATACGAGGCTATGCTACAATATATATTTATCTTTGTGTGCGTATTTTTCGTGAATGTATGAATGTATACATTTGCCATACAATATATGTGTGTATGTATGAATGTATACAAATACCATACTATATATCTTTGTATGTATGAATGTATACATAAGCCATACGATGTATTTATGTATGTTGGAATGTAAACATTTGCCATACCAAATATTTGTGTATATATGAATGTATACATTTGCCATACTATGCATTTGTGTATGTATAAATGTATACATTTGCCATACTATGCATTTGTGTATGTATGAATCTATACATTTGCGGTACCATGTATTTATGTATGTATAAATGTATAAATATGCCATACCATTTTTGTGTATATGTATGAATGTATACGTATGCCATACCATGTTTGTGTATATGTATGAATGTATACATATACCATACCATATTTATGTGTGTGTATGAATTTATTTATATGACATACCATTTTGTGCGTGTATGTGTGTGTGTGTGTGTGTGTGTATGAATATATATATATATGCCATACCATGTATTTGTGTATGTGTGAATGTGTGCGTGTCTTCCATACCCTATTTTCATGTATGTAATTGACATTCATCTTTATGCATTAATCCCGTTGCTGTCCTATTGTTTTTTGTTCCAGTTAAGTTGACCAGTTGTAATCACGTTGACCATTTGTAGACAAGTTGACCTGGTGTAGTCACGTTGACCATTTGTAGACAAGTTGACCTGGTGTAGTCACGTTGACCATTTGTAGACAAGTTGACCTGTTGTAGTCACGTTGACAATTTTTAGACAAGTTGACCTGTTGTAGTCACGTTGACGGTTTGTAGCCAAGTTGACATGTTGTAGTCACGTTAACCATTTGTAGGCAAGTTGACCTGTTGTAGTCACGTTGACGGTTTGTAGCAAGTTGACCAGTTGTAGTCACGTTGGTCATTTGTAGACAAGTTGACCTGTTGTAGTCAAGTAAACCACGTGTAGACAAGTTGACCAGTTGTAGTCACGTTGGCCATTTGTAGTTAAGTTGACCTGTTGTAGTCACGTTGGCCATTTGTAAACAAGTTGACCTGTTATAGTTACGTTAACCATTCGTAGGCAAGTTGACCTGTTGTAGTCAAGTTGACCATTTGTAGGCAAGTTGACCAGTTGTAGTCAAGTTGACCATTTGTAGGCAAGTTGACCATTTGTAGGCAAGTTGACCTATTGTAGTCAAGTTGACCATTTGTAGGCAAGTTGACCAGTTGTAGGCAAGTTGACCTATTGTAGTCACGTTGACTATTTGTAGACAATTTGACCTGTTGTAGTCACGTAAACCACGTATAGGCAAGTTGACCTGTTTTAGGCAAGTTATTCAGTTGTAGCCAAGTTGTTCAGTTGTAGCCAAGTTGTTCAGTTTTAGCCAAGTTGTTCAGTTGTAGCCACGTTGACCAGTTGTAGCCAAGTTGACCAGTTGTAGCCAGGTTGACCAGTTGTAGCCAAGTTGTTCAGTTGTAGCCAGGTTGACCAGTTGTAGCCAAGTTGTTCAGTTGTAACTAAGTTGACCAGTTGTAGACAAGTTGTTCAGTTGTAGCTAAGTTGCCCAATTGTAGCCAAGTTGTTGAGTTGTAGCCAAGTTGTTCAGGTGTAGACAGGTTGACCAGTTGTAGCCAAGTTGTTCAGTTGTAGCCAAGTTGATCAGTTGTTGCCAAGTTGTTCAGTTGTAGCCAAGTTGATCAGTTGTAGCCAAGTTGACAAGTTGTAGCTAAGTTGACCAGTTGTAGCTAAGTTGTTCAGTTGTAGCTAAGTTGTTCAGTTGTAGCTAAGTTGACCAGTTGTAGCTAAGTTGTTCAGTTGTAGCTAAGTTGTTCAGTTGTAGCTAAGTTGACCAATTGTAGCTAAGTTGACCAGTTGCAGCTAAGTTGTTCTGTTGTAGCTAATGTGTTCAGTTGTAGCTAAGTTGACCAGTTGTAGCCAAATTGACCAGTTGCAGCTAAGTTGACCAGTTGTAGCTAAGTTGACCATTTGTAGCTAAGCTGACCAGTTGTAGCTAAGTTGACAAGCTGTAGCTAAGTTGACTAGTTGTAGCTAAGTTGACCAGTTGTAGCTAAGTTGCCCAACTGTAGCCAAGTTGTTGAGTTGTAGCCAAGTTGTTCAGTTGTAGCCAGGTTGACCAGTTGTAGCCAAGTTGTTCAGTTGTAGCCAAGTTGATCAGTTGTTGCCAAGTTGTTCAGCTGTAGCCAAGTTGATCAGTTGTAGCCAAGTTGACCAGTTGTAGCTAAGTTGTTCAGTTGTAGCTAAGTTGACCAGTTGTAGCTAAGTTGACCAGTTGTAGCTAAGTTGACCAGTTGTAGCTAAGTTGACCAGTTGTAGCTAAGTTGACCAATTGTAGCTAAGTTGACCAGTTGTAGCCAAGTTGTTCAGTTGTAGCCAAGTTGATCAGTTGTTGCCAAGTTGTTCAGCTGTAGCCAGGTTGACCAGTTGTTGCCAAGTTGTTCAGCTGTAGCCAAGTTGATCAGTTGTAGCCAAGTTGTAGCTAAGTTGTTACCTAGTTTACCAGTTGTAACCAAGTTTACCAGTTGTAACCAATTTGATCAGTTGTTGCCAAGTTTTCCTTTTGTTTCTTCTGACATGTCCAGACAATCTTGCCTCTTTTGACTTTCTTTAATTGGTTCACCGTTCCTGGACGACTATCGTACAAGATAACCATAGTTTTTAGCTCAGAAAAAGAAAACAAATATTTAAATCATATTCCTTGTTTTCAAGACAACTTCCAGTTTTAAACATACCCCAACCCTTGACCCGTTAGGTTTGTGGAGGTGCATTGGTGGAAGCTCTAGTACATAAATTTGGCCTCTTCCTCTGTCTTCTGCTTGATGAACCAGTGTATGATAACTTAGTCCGGTCCATTTCTTGATGTTGTTAATCCTTGTTCTTCTTTGCTCTTTTCTTTTTGGACTACCTCTCCCCCCGATGTTCCTTGAAGTATATACAGTCTTTTCAATCGAATCATGTCTCATCACGTGCCCGAATCAAGCTAGCTTACAACGTGTCATCACTGCCAAGAGAGCGTCCTGAGGTCCCACAAATTTGTATAATTTGTTTGATACAGAAAAAGTGCGGCAAACTTGTCGTCCTATGCACGTAACAATACGGTATTTTGTATGTTTTGCTGCAACATATCAGTCTTAGAGGACTTATTCAAGGAGAGACATAATACGAAATCACGAAATCAGACTAATGCTAGGAATAAAGCCAGTCTTACACATCATCAAAGAACAACAAATGAAGTGGTTTGGACACTTAACAAGAATACCCTGGTACTATCCGCCACAGCGAGCCACACTAAAACGTTACAACGGGTATAGAGCGAGTGGAAGACTTCGGAAAATATGGAGTGATGGCATTAAGAACAGCCTTACATGAATTAACATCAGTCTAAATAGTGCTCTTGACAGAGCTCATCAACGAACATTACATCTCCCCCCGACACTTCGATGAGGTACAAGGTGGAAGAGAAGAAGAAGAGGAAGAAGAAGAATAGGATTTATTTACTGAAACAAACGTGTACTGTAACAAGGAGCAGGTAGGTTGGACATAACCACTCAGAATTATTATACATGGCTAGTTAGTTAGTTAGTCGACATATTATTGTGAGTTCACATGCAACAGTTGAGTCCACGAGTGTTCGGATCCCTTCTTGGCCAGCTCCCCCAGAACTAGGCCACCAAAGACAACATTTTGGTTGTGTTTTCTTTTTCATCTTTAGCCTCTTGCAAGATGCTCTTGTCTGTCCAGATGACAAGTATGGTAAACAGGCTAGCATTGAATAGTAAAAGTAAAGATCCCTTATTACGCCCATGGCGCATCGGGTTTATAGGCAGAGCGTCCCATATTTTTACAGACCAATCGGCACTGGTTGGGGAATGTGGTCAGCATTACGCCGGTAGCATTGAATGCTAAATTACAAAACCCGGTGAGTTTCCAAAAGTTTAACCCGAATCGGAAGGTTGGGCTTTCATGTCCTGACGGAGCCGGACATTTGTTTTTTTCACAAACACACAAAAATGACTTTCGCTCCCAGGTCGACCAAGCTCTAAATTGGTCCCGAGCACAGTCCTGGAGAAGTTGACCATAGCGTTCACCGAGTGCCGATAGTCTATAAAATATAGGTTTAGCCCTATATGCCCGGTACACATGAATGCGTGGAAAAGGGTCCTTTACTTACTTCTACTAACCCAATCAACAAATACCTTTTGACGTCAGATCTGTCGGAAGAAAGGCACAAATATCGCAGCTATGCTGTAAAGAGGCACAAATCAGTTACGTCACTCTAACGGACAAAGAGGATAAAGAAGAAGAAAATCTGTGATTCTTTCTTTTTCTGGATGTATTGGCAACCTGTTGAGACCAAAGCCAGTGACAGACAAACATTTAACACACCAATCAAAGGCATTCAGTTTTCATCGTTGGTGTCACGAGAAGAAATAGGCTGGAGAACATTGTGTAAAGCTCAGCGGTACAAGAATCTGGTACAGACCAAGAGAAATCACGCCAAGTGATCTCCGACAACTTCTAGGAGGGCCGGTCTGT